ATACAGAATTTAATGTAGGAAATGCAATCTGTGTTTTAGACCTATACCACAGGAGGTCAATAAAATTTTCCAGTAAGCCTCTCCATCTTCAGTTTTCAGATGCCAACTTCTCAATACTGAGAACTTGCCTCGGTGTGGGATCCATCAGTGAAACTGAACTCATGGAAAACTCTGAGTTGCATGCTTAAAAATTATTTCATCTTATATAGTTTCACAGTCTTTCAGTTCCCTTTCAGAAGCTACCACGTACATCAACTCCTAAGTCAGATGCTAAATTTAGAGATAAGATATAAAAATTTGGAAATACTACTATTACAAGCATGTGCGGTCTCTGGTGAAAAATGAGAATTTTAATAAATTCACTTTTTTCACAAATCAGTGACACTGCTAGCAGCGAGCAAGGAAAGACGCACAGTAGCAAATTAAGCTTTTCCAGAAACCTGTAAGGAAGAACATTAGTGTTTGGAATGTAGATATTGCTGATGATGATCAGGCACCCTTCCCAGTCAGGAAATGGAAGTTTCTTGTAGGAAAAAAAAATAAAATTCTAAAATGATGAATCATTAGATATGATAAATTTGATGACATATTACTCCTAGAAAGATGACAAGGGTCAGATATTTGAAATTTAGGATGGAAGATATTACCCCTGTATTTTGAAGAAGAATAGAGATTAGGGGCAATTTTCTGTGTTCTTTTTTTCTTTTTTTTTTTTTCCTTTTTTCTCTTCTTTTCCCTAAACTCCAAATTCTAGATGTGTCTAAATTAATCTAATTGCTGTGTTACAAAGGCCACAGATTCTTTCTCAAGCCAAACAAATACTTAAATAGTCCATGGGGGATTGGGCCCCATGTTATGTTTCCTATTATATTTATGAGATTTGGTTGAGGTGTAGGTAATGAATAGGTCAGTAAGTAAACTTAGCCCATCCCTCTCTTTGCATCTTACCTCAGAAGACATCCCATTGATTTAATGTGAGTTTCTCGTGGGACTATAGTAGTCCAGTCTGAATGTACATCATCTATGAAGATAAAATCTTGACTCCCAGAACCCGCCTTACATATGTTATAGATTCATTACATAATCTTTCTTACTTCTTTTTTCAGCCGCAGCATATTACCTAAGGTCACAGGCAAACTCTAAATAGTCCCACTGGAATGTGCTTAAGTATCTTGGGTGAACTAAACTACTCTTCTTCCCCTTCTGAAAATTAAAACAGCAAAATATGCTTGAAAGTTTCTTAATTCAAACCTCAGATAGCAGGTCTCTGTATTTAAAACATGGCTGGTTTCTTTATCTTTCTTTTTGATTTCTGCATCCTCTCCTGGAAGACATTAATCTTCCACTCTTTAATACAGAACACAGAAGGAAGGAAGGGGCACCAATTAAGCCTCTGTTATCTCAGTAAAGACAGGCAATTTCTTCACTAATTGAATTAAAGATTGTGGAGGGCAGCCATTTCACTATAAGCCAAATTTGTTTCTGTAATTAATAAAACATGTCTCTGATGCTGACGAGTTAAAATCATAAACTTAACTAATATTTGACCTTAAGGAATGATCCTTGTTTCTAACACATGAACAAATGTGTTTTCAGCAGAGTATATTCAACATATATTCAATATATTATCAACAATTATGGTTTTGGAGATTTGTTTATGTGTAAGAAAATATTTTCTTAAAAAGAAAGAAGATTACACTAGATGGTGGTATAAAGCCTTGTAAATGGATAAGTTTCTTACAGAGAGAAATGGTGAATGTAGTTCCTAAAAGGCACCAGTAGATAAATAATGTAGCATAAAAAAAAGAACCTGTGCTTTGATACTTTGTGTTTGGATGCTGACACATATGAGGAAGCTGAGGGTATAGTTTTCTTTCATGTCACAGCCACATAAGAATGAAAATAAAAATATTCCCTTTTTATTGTTGCTCTACTTTTCCTTTGCATTTTGTTATAAAACTAGAATCTCGACTGAGCATGTTCACTGGCACCCCAATCCTCCTACACATTTTTAGTTGCCCATATGGATGTGTCAGATATAATCTGAAAAATGAGATTAGTATCAAAATTTGCAGTTATTACTCTTGTGGTAACCATTTCACAGAAAAGACAGCACACTTCACCGTGCACCAGTGTTATTGTCACAGGAGGTGCAGAAAATGGTATGTTTACAGAGCTTCTAAAGTGACACTTTTAACTGTGGGATAGCATCCCCAGCAATGTTTAAGGAATAAAACAGTCTCCTATCCGCATAACTATCCTGTGTTCTTATCATTTTACCAACATTTTAGAATCTATTTCCTGAGATCTAAAGAATTTGTCATCAAACCCATAAACACAACTGAATCTTTGTCAACACCTGTCACTTAAAAAGTATCTCATCTCACTTTTCATTTCTGTTGACTCCAAGTTAACAAGTTTCTTAATTTTGTGCCCAAGATTCTTAATTTTAATATGTCAATGTGATTATTTAGGTTTTACATAGTAAGAAACATCATAACTTATTTTTATGAAAACATTGTAACTTATATTACATGAAGTACATTTATTTCAGTGGGGACCAAACTGAATTTGAAGTGATGAATTTTTACCCATCATGATTTTAGAAATACTGACTCATTTTATATTTTATTAAATGAGGAACATGCATTTAAAAATAGGTAGGAGACTTCAAATGCAAACTCCACAGATTAGCACTGAATGTTCATACACTAAATTTTCTTCATGAATATTTAATTAAATGGCACAAACTCCACAAACTGACAGTTTTCTTGCTTTCCAAAAGTCTCTAAAAATAAAAGACCTAATTTGCTAAAATAATAGAGGTTTATGCTGGAATAATATTAAAGATGCCAAGAGAATTACACTGGTATTTATCGGAGTAAAGTCACAATGATTTAGGGCTAAAAAACTTTAAATCCTATTAAATTTGTTTCACTAAGCAAAAGGTCTAAACATCTGAACTAATAATTTCAATATAGTACCACAAGATACCCAGAGCCACAGGCCCCAGCTCTGACAGCTCCATTGGAAGGCTCTTGCTACAAGGTACACTTCTATTCTTTGTCATGAAGAAATACAGGGTGACATTAGCACTGCAATTAAAGAAAATACAATGTCCAGCACTTGCAATATCAAAAAGTTCATTTAGAGAAAGGAAAAAAATTGATTCAGAAACGCAAACTAAAGAGGAGAATAAAATTTAAAAAAAAAAAAAAAAAAAGAAAAAAAGAAAAATAATAGACCCACAGAATACGGTTACTGGAAAAGAGAGGTTTAATTTCTTAGCCAGTATAAATCAGCACAGACTCCCTGGTATGAACAGAGCATTGCCAATAAACCCAATAGTTGGAAAAAAAGACAAAAAAGGTTGTTATGGAGGAAATGAAAGGATTAGAATAATAGAAGATTCAGAAATATCCTTTGTTTTACTGCATACACATCTGTGCTTCTCAAATATATGGGAGTGCATTTGAAACCAGATGTAAAGTTTAGATTTGTTTTTTTTTTTTTACATTCTTATTATTTGGATAACTTAAAAACACACAGTCCAAGTAGAGAACTATCAGTGCTCTTAAAAATGTGGAAAATGCTTGAAGAAGAACATACTTTCTTCAAAAAAAAAGGCAAAGTGAAGTAAAAGTTCTGTAAAGAATATCCACCTCTTTTCTGACAAAACAAATAAATTAAAACATGATCATATTTTGGCAGAAATAGCACTGTCATATAATTTCCAACTGTTGCAAACTTTATCTGAATTCTGATCAAAAAGCCACCATAGCTTGCTATTCTGGCAGAGTATGCCTGTAATGTGTCTCAGTGTTCAACAGGAAACTGTGAAAAGCATCCAAGACCAGGGAGTTGAAGAGAGCATGAAATGAAGGGTTTCCTACAATAAAATGTTTACTATTTTCATTGCAGGAAAGACAACTTGGATAAAATAAGCAAGCCACTATTATGTGATTAATAAGGATAACATTAGAATACATTTACTCGTTCTGGAAACAAATATTATTTCTTCCTAAGACGTGATTATCATAGAATCACAGAATATCCTGAGTTGGAAGGGACCAGCAAGCATTACTCTAGTCCAACTCTCGGCGCTGCACAGGACAGCCCCAGTTCATTGTCCAAATGCTTCTTGAACTCCATCAGGTTCAGTGCTGTGATCACTTCCCTGGGAGCCTGTTCCAGTGCCCAACCACCCTCTCAGTGAACAACCTTTTTCTAATAGGTTCTTCCCTTGGGTCCTGTCTCTGGTCACCACAGAGAAGAGATCAGTGCCTGCCCCTCCTCTTCCCCTCATAAGGAAGTTGTAACTGCAGTGAGGTCTTCCCTCAGTCTCTTCTTCTCCAGGCTGAACAGACCAAGTGACCTCAGCCACTCCTCATACAGCTCCCCCTCAAGGTCCTTCACCATCTTCCCAATCACCTCCTTTGGATACTCTCTAAGAGCTTACATTGTGGTGACCAAAATTGCACACAGTACTCAGAGTGAGGTCACCTCAGTGCAGAGCTCAGCTGGACAATCCTCTCCCTCAACCAGCTGCTGATGCTTTGCCTGATGCTCCCCAGGACATGGTTGGCCCTCCTGGCTACCAGGGCACTGCTGACTCATACTCAGCTTTCCACTGATGAGGACCCCAGGTCCCCTTCTGCAGTGCTGTCCTCCAGCCTCTCATTTTCCAGCCTTTACGTACATCCAAGGTTGCCCCTTTTCAGGTGCAAAATACATCACTTGCCCTTGTTAAACTTCGCATGGTTGGTCATTGCCCAGCCCTCTAATTTGTCTATGTCTCTCTGCTTAAATGAAGACACTGAAGAGAACTAGCACTAAGATGGAGCCCTGCAGAACCCCATTAGTGACAAATGCCAGCCTGATGTAACCCCATTTACTATAATCCTTTGTGGCAGTTGTTCACCCATCACATTACATATTTTTCCAGGAAGTGTCTGTTATCTCAAGTATGTGCATAAAAACATGCATGTTATGTATTAAGTAACAAATTATAAAGATGCAAGAAGCCTCTCAGGTGACTGCAGCACCCCTTAGGTTTCTTACCTGATCTGATTCCAGTTATTAGACTTATGCTAAAAGCTCTCATTTACTTTGAATGCAGTGTTCTTCATTTTCTGAGATAATATACATGCAAACATGTATGCAGAGATGTTTGTCTTTAGTACTTCCCTGAAATTACTGAAGTACATTTGGCATGACAGGATTGTAGTGTCTGTGTGTTGGTGGTACCAGCAATAACTACATTTATGAACATAGATCCTTCTGTTCTCTGCATTTTCAAGGTTTAAATATGTGCTTGTTAGGAAGCAATAGCAGACCTTGCACAGGTTTTATTGTGCTCTTATTTATTCTCACACAAATTATTGCTTTTATAACATTTGCTGTTCCTTTCTTCTGTTCATTTCTTGTGTGAAAAGAATTTCCTAGTTTTATCTGTCTTTTATAATAGTGATAAGCCCAGGAGAAAGGCAGAAACTGAGAGCAACTGCCACCCAGCTGGTCTTCAATATCCTTGTGAGGTGAAGTAGAGGGGTAAATACCAATCTCTTCCCTCTCATGACCAGCAACAGGAGTCAAGGATATGGCATGAAGTGGAGTTATGGGACATTCACATTGGATATCAGGAAAAAGTTTCTTACCCAGAGGGTGTCTGGGCACTGGAACAGGCTCCCCAGGAATGTGGTTACAGCACTAAGCCTGACAGAGTTCAAGAAGCATTTGGACAGTGGTCTCAGGCACATGGTATGATTCTTGGGGTGTCCTGCACAGGGTCAGGACTTTATCCTGATGGGTCTTTATCCTGATGGGTCCCTTCCAACTCAGCATATTCTATGATTTTGTGATTTTATATGCCATGCTTAGTACTACATCACTCTTTCTGGCCCTTGGTTACAGCATTCTTAGATCCATATTGACTCAGACACAAAGATGTGAAATATCCTTGTTCATACTGTAGAAAAGCATTTAAATTATATTCTTAAGAAGTGAAAGACGGTGGCTCAAACACTTTCAGCCTAAGGAAAAAAAAAAAAAGAAGTAAGACTCCTACTTGCAGATTGAATTATACAAAATTATACAAAAACCTGAGAATACAGCTGTGATGCACTGTATTGGATTCAGATTATAAGACAGATTCAGAAGATTTCTAAGAGTATTAAGCAGGTTGAAGTTAATCTGACAGTGACGATTAACATCATTGCTAAAGCAGAAGCTTTATTCACAGGTAGTATGTGTTCCTGGTACTCAATCTCCAAGACTAGCCTACCTTTTAAATATAGGTATTATAGATTAATCTCTTGAAGTTAAGCAATAAAATTTCATAAAAATCTCATTTTAGGAAAACAAAGTAGAAATCCTGAATATAATTTCTGTCTCCTGTTCCCTATTCATCCGGTGACCTGCTCCAAACAGTAGTAACTGCAGGTAGTTCCAAGCTAGTCATGGTGCCCTCTGCTATCCTGTCTCATTGTCTCTGCAGACAGTTTCAAGAAAAGCAGGAATGATTCTGTGTTGTTTTCTGTCAACATCCAGTTTAAACTATTCCCAGCCTAGAGGCTCCTGTGATAAAATTTTTTGTTACTTTTTTGTGGGTTTTGGTCAGAATATGATGCTCCCACATTTGGTGAGGCACTGCCAAAGCCACATGTGTCTGTTGGCCCATTGGATGGTAGAAAATGGAAAGATCCATCAATCAAAAGAACAGAGAAAAACAATTTATGTTGAAGAGCTTCAATTTGTTTCCATTTTCACTTAGATCTTACTTAGATCACTTAGTGAGGTGTTCTGGCCCACTAAATTGTTTGATCACTTGGACTACAGTCAATATATTCTTTTATATGTTTGGAGTTTTGCCTGTTTGTCAAATGTATCACTATAGCCTATTAGACCTTAAACTTGTGCAGCAATGTGAGCTGACAGTGCCTGCTGATGGGTGCAATATACATGCAGCACATGTATATTAGAGTTATGTACTTACTGTTCATTCATCCTTACTGTTCCTTCTTCTAATGCATTCTTTTACTTCATACAGCTCAATGGAAACACGTATCCAACTTGTAGCTGCAGTTGCAAGAAATCAAGTGATGCAATGCTGTATTTTTAAATAATGAAGGATACAATAATAATATTATAGACATATTATGCAAATAATTGGTTCATCAGTGTCTTGACTATATCATTCTCTATAGCTTTTATGTCTGAAGGCAATTGTGAAGCTGCTTATATTTGTCACACTTTTATTACCTCTTCTATCTGTTTACTATCACAACACTAACTTAAGAAATAGGAACAATTGCTTTTTTCTAAATGAAGAAAAATCTGGAAGAAACAAACATTTTCAGTCTTAAGACAACAAACATATTTAGCTACAGCTATGAAGAAAGAGTATGACTAAAAAAAACACTATCAGTGACTGTGAAAACATATATAAGCAAAGTTGATATTCAGCTCTTTCTAAATTCATTTAGTTTCTACTTTTACAAAGCCAAAAATATCATAAATCTAGTGCAATTTACTGAAAGCATAATACTATTGCATGTCATGCTAAAAGCAAGCTGAATTTTGCTTTCATGCAACCATAATCCAAGTTACAAACCATTTCAAACACAGGGATAAAAGACAATTCCTACTATGATTAACTTAATTTTTTTACGCATAAAACCAGTCATAAGAGTTTATAAAAACAAAACCTGTGAGACAATATTGTCTAAATCAATATGCAGTAGGAATGGGTGCATCAGCAAACTGATATCAACATTTTTCATGAGTATCATGATGCAGAATTTGAAGGGGAGAGATGAAATATGGCAACAGTTAGCTGCTCTGAAAATATTTCTGAGAAACTCCTCCCATGTCTGAGAGGTAGTATGAAGCTTATTTGAAAATATAACAAATAGTGGCACATCCATTCGCGGTGTGAGATGATATTTTATCATAAATAAGATATGATAGCTGAGTGTTTCAAGGTTGTGAAGGTCCTTGAAAGTGAAGGTAAGTGGATGATGCTTGATTGAAAAGAGATGATGAAGTAGCTGATGGAAGAATTTAAAAAAGGAGGGCAAAAGCAATGAAAAAAATACTGTGAATGAATATAAGTGGGTTAGCACTTACCAGTGGTTGTGAAATCTTGGAGAAAACATTTTATTAACTGAAAAACAGCAGATAAGAATTTAGACAAGAGTTTTAGCTCTTTAATTTTCAAGAAACTAAACAATTTGCAAGAAACAAGTGCAAGCAAAATTGGCCTCTGAAGAGTCAGATTGATATCAAAGACAAAAAATGGCACTTAAAAGCAAGGCACTGTCATGGCACTTAATTAGCAATTTTACTTTAGAGGCCCTGCTGGGACTGTTATGGTGAGATGATGTCATGGGAATGATTTTCATTTGACAGGTAAGAAAGTTGTACTGAAACCATAAGCAATGAAAGGCTAATTTGAATGTGAATTATTCTTGTCCATTGCATTTTTTGTAGAAAAAAAAGCCCTGGAAGCACAAGAGTAAGCAATTGGAAATGGAGAGTGGGAGGAAAAAGGAACATTGCCTGTTATTTGAAAGACTGTTTTACATAGGTGAAGAGGGACCAGAAAAGGAGTCCAGAAACAAAAATCAGTTTTCAGGACGATCTTGATTAACAGCACTGAAGGCAGTTGACCAGTCAAGGAGCATAAAAGTGGCATAACTGTGAAGAATCTAAGTTTCAAAACTATGGGAAAAATAGCCTTGTCTCAAGAGATTACATAGCTTTAATCTCTCTTAAGTTCTATTGCTCTTACTGGTTCAATTCACCTTGAATAAATAACTGAAAGGAAATACAGTTGCCATACAGAGTTTTTAGAAGTCATTAATAGGTTCATTTTAGTTACCTTTCCATTTCTAACTTTGCTCCTCTTTCAGGATGCTTAATTATATAACACATGATAAATCCAGAATTATCCTTTCCTCTTGAAAACAAGGATTTGAACATGGGTCTCTTGATTCCAGCAAATTAATTTCTACAATAAGTGGACTCAATGAACTTAAAAGTCTTTTCCAATTTGTTCTATGATTCTATGAAATTCGTGTTTTAAAATTGTAGAATAATACCCCAAAACGACACAAAAGACATGGAGAACCCTCTTGGATGTCTGATTTTGGAGTAGTGAGTCCACAGCAGGCCCACTAATGACAATTTCTTTCTTTTAAGTCAACAAACTTTTCATCTTTAGAAAAATCTCTGGAGGATTGGCCAATAAAACTAGCTAATTGACTATTCAAGAAGACTGTATGAAACATGAAAGGAAAAAAATTTCTTGATCAGAACTCCTTGGAAAAGATAGTCATTTGAACAAACAGATTCCATATAAAAATACACTTCTCTGGCTATATCAGCTAATATTTAATGTTCTGTAAAATAAGTATTCAGAAACTGGCAGAAATCTTTAGAAACAAACAAAGCAAAAACTTTTGTTTTCTGATGAAATACTAGAAATGCAGAGGTACTTGCATAGTAGCAGACTCTAGGGTCTTGAGGTTTTGGGGGGGGGGGGTTGACATTATCAGAAATACAACAAGTCACTTTATGGATTTTCGCTGATTTTTGTGTGTCTAGAACGTATTTTTGGTAGAATACAGAGTAGGACTGATAAACTTACGTTCAATGATAGTCTGGCATTCCAACTACAGAAGTACCTTTAGTAATTATCTTTTGAAATCTTATCCATGATATTTTCATTAGTTACAGATCTCACAACAGCTGTGTTTGTTATCTCAAGACCTCAAAATATCTCAAAATACTGTAAGTTTTCATGCATCTTTCATTTCTATATTTCACTACTATAGAAATATAGCAGCTAGTACACAGTACATATGCTCATATTTTATTTTAACTCCTTTTTGCCAGAAAAAGTACTCTGTGGTACTGCATTTGTTGCCTCTTAATTTCCAGGCAAAACTAAACACAAGGCATGTAAATGTTTGAGAACATACCTTGAAATCCACCCATCTCAGACATTGCAACAGTAAAGATTGTTGTTTAAATTTTGTGTCATCCTTTAATGTTCCCTTTGAATTCCCTTGGTGAAATAGGAAGTGACTCTGCCCATGACAGAGGGTTGGAACTAGATGATCTTTAAGATCACTTTCAACTCAACCCATTCTATAATTCTATGAAAAGTCTGTTATAAAATGGAAGCAACAATTTTCCATGTATATATTAACTGTCCCTCTAACTGGCAATGACTTCTCTTCTGTGCCACTTCTCACACTGCATAAGATAAAATACTAAATGTACTAATTGCAGCTAAATACTTGCTGGGTGCCAACTTTATTAAAGTTTCTATGACTCAGACATATATAGCTGAGCAAAAATCTAGTACATCAGCATAGGTATAACCTGTTAAGGTAGAAATTTCATGTGAGTTTCCAGAGAACTGTTACAGACAGAATATTGAATGTAACTAAAACATCACTGCCTGGTAAAGGTGTTGAATCTATTATATTGAAGCTACAGTACATTTGAAACAACATTAAATACCATATAAAATTAGAAGAAAGGACCCTAGATAAACTTCTGGAAGGAAGGACAAAAAAAAAATGGAATTTTTAAGCTCTAATATAAACTTCAAGAAGTGCAAAGAAATGTGACAAATCCATCTGCATTTCCAGAGATTCTTGGATGCCTCTTATTGTGCCAAGTGCTTTATCAGGTTCAATTTTTGGGTTCTATCTCTAAAAACATGTGGTCAACATATGTTTGATTTCCTTTTTGTCTGTGTTGGTTGCTGTGTAGTGGGAAGATTGTATTGAAGTGTCTAAGAAACAGAAGAAATGGAAGATTTCCAGATTTCCTCTCAATCAGGTCTTCTTTTTTTTTAATTACCATCATTTTTTAAACATTGTTTCCTAATAGACGATGGCAGCTGAACTAAATGGAAATACAATACAGAGAAACAAACTAGCAACAAACTTCACTTAAAGGAAAATTGTAAAGGTAATTTATCTAAACAGCAAATATCATGGCTCAATGCACTCCTTGCAATGGTAGTGCAACTCTATGGTTCATTAAATATAGAATATATTTGTGTATATTTTTCAGGCCTCATTCTTTTTGAGAACTTGTGTAACTGTACTCCCACACTGTGATTAACCCTTTCTCCTACTTGTACCCTTTTCTGCATTCTAAATAATCTGTGGAGAGATAATCAGTGTCTTGATTAAACTGTAAGATAAGGAAATATATGTATAACAGTGGAACTGATGTCAGTTACAATTAAGCAATCCATAAATTGCCATCTCATTTAAAATTTCTCAATTATACTTGTTATCTGAAAATTACTTTCTTCAAATAGTCTTTAAATATCACAGAATGACATAAGAGTTGCAGTTGGAAGGGACCTCTGGCGATTATCTATTCCAACCCCTCTGCTAAAGCAGGTTACCTTGAGTAGGTGGCAGAGGATCATGTCCAAGCAGATTTTTAATATCTGCAGAGAAAAGCTAGTTTCCATAGTTACTTCTAAAGTTTGACCCAAGTGAATTCACTGCATATATGTATATACATACATATGTATACACACACACACACATGTAATAATTGTGAAATTTTATGTTAACTTCTTCAACATTTTGAAGTCTGCACTTCAGTCCTTCATAGGAGCATTTTGTGATTGTTTATTCAGAATCAGACAGAGATGAAGGCTCAACTCACAACTGTGTTACTGTAGCAATAGGTTAGTCCACCTCTGCTGAAATAACTTCTAGCAACAGATCAACAACAAAAGAAAACCTTAGTTAGAGCCAAAGAATATTCTATAAAAATAATTATTTAATATTTCCTTCCTAAAAGAGAAATATTTTCTTCTTAAATATAGATCTTTGTTTTAACTTCCTTTGCTTTTCTTTGTTTTACTGTTTGTTGTTTTGTTTTTTAATTTCATTTTGGGGAAGGTTTTTTATTTGACTAAATTCTCCTCTACCAGGGACTATATTTTCTAAATATAAATAAGAATTTTAGCCCTTACCAATCTTCTCTCTTAAAGAAAGGATTGTTTCATAAAAGGAAAACAGACAAAACTCTTGTTAAAGGTCCACACACACAAACACACACAGAGTATGGTGCATTGCCCCTGTAATTTACTGGCGTTTACTTGTAACTTTTTTCTTCTGCTAGGAAGATAAAGAATTAATTTAATAACACTTATCATGAGATTTTCATAACGATTTAACTTAATTTTGAGAAATTAGTGTAAATGTTACATCTCATATTTAAATCCTCTTCATATCTTCCCCAATTTTTTTTCTTATGCGCCTAAATAGTACATTATGGAAAAAATAAAGAAGGAATCTACATATCTATATAAAGGGCTATACAAATGTCCTGCTAAGTGGAAGAAGTGGGAGTAACAATGAAGTGTTATGAAAATATGGAAATAAAAGAAGGTCAAAGGAACTGTTTTAGGTGGAGCAAAAATGAATAATAGCAAAGATGTTTTTTGTAGTTAGGCTCTATTTTATCTTAGAACACTGCACTTGGCACATTTTAATGATAAAGATGGTCCAGTAATACAAATACAAAAATTAACCTCTGTGTGATAAGGAGTTGTCAATGATATTTTATAAATATGCATATTTTGAAGATTGGTCAAATGTTTCACCACCAGGGATGTCTTTTTACCAGTAGGATTTAAGTAATATTAATAGAGCAAGGTGAATACTTTAGTGTTTTATAACATGCTCTGGTGAAACTATTCAGGCTGCCGAACCAATGCTGAATACGTGGCAAATGTGTATTTTTAAAAGCAATACACAAAAGTAATCAAGAAAAAAGATTTCTTTTAGTTAGAAGCAGTTGGGAAGAGTGCTCAGAATAGCATGAACATTCTGGAAGACCAAGGTGAAGTCTCTTAATTTACTACTTATATTATGTCATTGACTGGACAGACTGTGCTCCAGACTGTCAGATGGCATAAAACATTACAGCTTCAGTAATGTCAAAGTTCATCAGAAGGATACTTCACCTTCACAAAGTGTTAAAGGATCCCCTTCATCAGCAGATGGATTCTTTGATGATCAGGAAAATGAATCCCCCATGGCACAACTTTCAGGGCTTAGCATGACTGGCAAAGGGAAGAAGCGATGGAAGAGTGGAGATATGTCTGATTACTTATTATTAACAGTCAACAGCAGGAATTCTTGTTTGTAGGACACGATCTAGCTTAGAAAAAAGATTTTTTTATAAGTAAATTTTTCTATTAAAATATATGTTGAAGGTCTTGTTCTTGTAAAAGAAAGAAAGATACCAAAAATGCTTTACAAAAGATTTGTCTGGAATATGCTTGAAGTTAAGATAATAGATGTTTTGCAGGGCCAGCTAAAACAAATATTGCAATTTTTCATTAAGTTTATTCTCTATGTATATTTATGTATACACATGTAGAAACTAAATATTTTGTACATCAGAAATGTTGCCATTGGAAATAGTGCAGCTTGGAATAAATAGTTTATTTAGATCCCATGGGTCATTTCATTAATTAAGCTCAGAAGACAATTATATCATTTTAATTCCTACAAAAGAAGAAAATATTTATATTTCATATTTGCAAAATCCAACCATTATGAAAATGCCGTAAAAAATCAAATCTATATTATCAGGTATATGTATATGAAAATTATACTTATTTGATATTATGAATAAAAGTGTGACTATGAAGTTCCAGTTCACCTTTTATACAGTTAGACACCATCAGAATAAAACCTATTACCCTATGCTTGACATTGATATAATATTATTGTAGTGTACAGTATAGAAGTTTATAAGAAAGAACTGAAAACGTGATTAAAAATAATGACCAAAGCTTAAAGCCTATTTACTGTGGACACTTTTAATAAGTGCATGTACTCTTTCATGAACCAATTATTAGAAGATCACTTTATCATGAAAGAATATGTTTCTGTATTTATCTGATAATTGTACACTCAATATAAAATAAAGTTCACAACAAAATAAGGTGTAAGTACTCTTGCGCAGAGAGGCATTTGAACATTTTACCTCTCTGCTGGGCCTTAAAATTATTCAAGTTTGGGATTTTGTCTGGTAGCATCAATATCTGTCACCAAAAGGATAAACAAGACGTAAATAAAAAGTCTTATGGAAAGGAGAAGAAGGAATAAGAGGGTGATCATGACACCAGCTCTTTTGAGTAACATGATAACCTGTCTTCATACTCTTCTATTAGGGGTCAGAAAATGATTACCATTATATTAGGACAGATTAATCAATAAGTAGGTCAGATTTTCACTGATCCTCCTTAAATTTTTAAGGCATATGCATGTGAGCATCTATCTCTATATGCAAACTGGCAGATTTGTGTTATAGAAGGGATTTCATGAGCCCCATGAGTGCATGTCTAATAAACCTGATTAAATATTTTTCGGGTGTAACTCCTCAGCCAACAGTCAATTCCTTAAAACATCACACCTCTTTATTTTGCCATCTTCCCTGTCACAAGTGCATTTTTCTGAGGTAACTTTCATAAATACATATATACATATATATATATGTGTGTGTGTGTGTGTGTGTGTAACCACAGAATATTTTAGGAAGCTATAAATATTTAATATTTATGTCCGTCTTTTAAATTATTGCTTTCCTAACAATCGGAAGAGCCAAAATCAGAAACATCTGACCAAATCTGTAAAAAATTTAGTTGCCTGCCAGTTTTCAGTGTTTTCAATTTGTAGTGATAAGTAATACTTTGTCTTATTTAACACATATAGAAATCGTTTAGAAAGAGAAATTCAATGTTAACAATTACATTCAAAAATTATAATAACTTGGCAGAGTCTTTGAATACCAGTGAAAATGCAGCAATGCATCAAATAAACGCAAACAGATGAGGATCATTGTCTAAAATATTGGAAAATGAGAATGAGCCTAGAAAAAACTCAGCTCATGCAAAATCTGGTGTATAATGATCTGAATAAGAGATAATACCTAATGATATAAATACCTGGAAGTAGTAATACTGGAAGAGATTACGATTTAAATGTAAAGTAAATTGTACATAAGTTTATAATGAGATATAGTTGTAGTGAGAAAAAAAACAACAAACAATAAGAATGTTTCATTCAACAGAATACCCCATTAAGTCAAGACAATACACAAGTTAAAAAGTAATAAATTCTTGTACTAATAAGTTTTGATTAAAATCAAGCAACACCAAGGAAAACACAACTTTTGATATTTGATTTGTGGCATCCAGGCTTACATACAGAATTGAAGAATATATAATTTTGAGAAACAATAATAAAAGGTATGTTGACATTCAAGAAAACTCATTTGTCAAATATATCCTTCTGGATAATCTTAATGTTACAGAATATAGAAGATACACAGTAAAAGTTCTCCTTGAACGTTAAAAATTGATGGTAAACAAAAAAGGGAAAGAAAAAAATTAAAAAATATATTCTTTGGTGTTTGAGGGAGATTTTAGCCTGTGAAAATATTCCCTAACTTTGTGACATCAGAACATTTTCTTTGGCAATGAAAACACTCTCTCTGAGTTTAAATGACACAACTGCATTGCGTCTGCGTTAGACACAAGCTTCAGAACTCATGTTTTGGAGTCCATTAAAAATGTTGAAATATTTCACCCTGAAAATGTCTGTATTAATTCTCTTTCTCCCCTCTTCCCAAATACATTAATAATTCAAGAAGTTTGAAAGCAATATTCTTTTGGCTGTGCAAAGCTTTTATTGGCAGCTTTTGCATTTTCTTTTAAGCAAATGGATTTTTTAAATCTTAATGAACTCTGAATTTGTAACCCACCCCATTATTTCTGCTAAAGAAATAAACCATCTGGACAACACTTCTGTGGGGTGATTTGTATTTACGTAAATTAACAGCAGTTTATGTAATTTTTGACCATAACCAAGTCTTTCCATTCAGGTGAATTCTCTAAAGCCTTTAAACTTTATTGCTTGAAATATTAAAGCTATAGTGAGCACATTGAAACAATTACACTGAAGTAAAGATGATCATAAAAACAAGACTGTGTGCCCCTCAAAACCATGTGAAAAGCACTCATGGAAAGAAAAAGGGAAGACAGGCCAAGGCTGAGGGGAACCAAAGTCTACTACCACATGCAATTGAGGAGAATAAATTTTGGGAATACTTTGACTACTTTTCATTTAGAATGAGTTTACTCCCATAGAATTAAGAATTGATAAGATAGTCCTGTGAGTACTTCTGTCCTTTTTTTTAATCTTCAGTTATGCCACATTCTGAAAGTTTTCCATACATTAAGCACAGGGATTTAGTATCCCCTATCATGTGTCAGATCATTAATACAGACCTAGCACAGTAACTGAGTGACGATATAGATGTGACCTCAATTACTGAGTTGCTACTTTAAGACACTTTTTTTTTTTTTTTCAGATCTTCTCTTCTTGGTTTCTTCTTTTAATCTTTTTGCTTTACTTTCTCTACCTATTTAAAGAAAATCATAAAAAACAGTCTTGTATTCAATTATTGCAAGAAATGTCCTTCTGCTGGATATAACACAGCAGTTATAATGTCAAAGCTCACAGACATTTTTCCACTACACTACTCTATGATCTCAGGAATTTCAGTTTCCTCTCCACATATACTAGAGACAGTTTTCTCTCATATCTCCTATACATTCACACACTCACAATAAAGGCTTTTTAATTACATTGCATTAATTTAGATGAAATAAGCTAGAAATGGACATAAGCTAAAAGGCTTTATTGAAAGGTGTGAGCACATACTTGCGAAATTTTTGGATGATAAACTCCGGTGCAGCCCAGCCAAAACCATGCACAAAACCTGCAACCTAAACTTGTCATGAAAAGAGAAATTTATACTGAATACAAATTGTTGCAATATGGGCTCACCGTCCATAACGGGACTTATACACATGCTCTACATATTTTTTTTATGTGCAGAATGTATATCATCCATCCAAGGTGACACTTTTGAAAGGGAAGAGAGTTTGTTATCTCTATTCTGTTGTCTTACAGAAGGTATTGGCCTGCTCTGGGTACTCGGATGGCTAAAATGGCAGTATTACACAAGGGTTGCCCTAATTTCCCTTGTTGCCTTATTAACTTTTTTAACTTTATTAACTTTTCTACCATGATAACATGGAGAACTGGAAGAGGAGTAGAGCTAGCCACAGGTGGGAATTCCACTAACTTTCTGTAGGGACAACTTTCTCTTGGTTTTCTTGCCTAATAGTAATCATGTGTAATCAGAGGGATGATGAGTTAGGAAGACTCTGCATTTCAAATGCAGAGAATATACTCAAATGAGCAAACAAAATCATGGCAAATGTCCTAGGTATCCTAAAATGAATAGAATTTTTTTCAAATTTTATATAAAAAAAATCCCAACCAACCTTCTTTATTGTAAATTCTTCCCCTTCTGTCCTCAATAAAGAATCATAAATAAGATGTAAAAATACCATGATTACTTTGTTCCATTTTATTTTAACCCTCTTTTAGGAGAGTAATCTACTACCTGTATGGGAATAGTTATTCTTAAAAGGGGGTAAGGAAGTATGACATCTACCAGTTTAACAACACGATAGGATTAAGCTCCACTCTGGTGTAGATGAGCAGCAGCCAAATGAACACAGTGGGATTATTTCACAAACATAAAGTCTAAGTTTGGCTCCAAGATACTAGTTTGTTTAGACAGGCAACAGAAAATCCAAATTACTCTACTACAGCAAGAATTTCACTATTTCAATCTTCATGTTGATCTACTCCAAGCCTTTGAACATTGAAAAGTTTGCCTATCACTCATCAAGTCACATATCCCAAATAGTCAGAATTCAAATGTTGATCTGTTTTCACAGCTCGAATTATTTCCTAGGATGTCTGCTGCATTTTTTGGGCTCAATTTCACCATCAATGGCCATTATAGAAAAGAAGTCACCTTACATTGCAGAGACAAAAAGCTTTTTAAAAAAATTAGTAATTAGATACTGAGATTCTTGAGTTTCTAAAGAAAAGGGTTAATTTAACAGATTGGCCTCTATTTTAAGTTCAGTATTTTGCT